GCATTTAGTAGGGAAAGAAACGCCCCAAAAAGGGGGCATTTAGTAGGGAAAGAAACGCCCCAAAAAGGGGGCATTTAGTAGGGAAAGAAACGCCCAAAAAGGGGGCATTTAGTAGGGAAAGAAATGCCCAAAAGGGGGGCATTTAGTAGGGAAAGAAACGCCCAAAAGGGGGCATTTAGTAGGGAAAGAAACGCCCCAAAAGGGGGCATTTAGTAGGGAAAGAAACGCCCCAAAAGGGGGCATTTAGTAGGGAAAGAAACGCCCCAAAAAGAGCGCAGTTCAGGGGAGCAGCACTGAGCAGCTCGCTGCCTCTTCCCCCAGCTCCCGGCAAAGCTGGAGCCGATACAAGCCCCCGGAGAACCGCGGGGCCCCGGGGCAGGGGAGGCCGTCCTGGCCGCGAGGGCAAGCCAGCGTTATGGTTTTGGTCTAGAAAGTGCTGTTCCTGCAAACACAGGGCACAATCGCGGGTTTTCAGGCAGCCTCTGCGCTGTCCCCCGGGCCCGCGGCTCCGGGCAGCTCCGAGCCCCTGCAATTCCCTCCATGGGCTCCGCTCTGTTTTTACAGGGCTCTGGGCTGGGCTTTGCAAGGCTCATTTAGAGCCGTGTCCCAGGCAGGGTGCCGAGCGTTAAAAATAGCTAAAACCAGAGATGCCTCCTCGGCCCGTGGGCAGGGAGCAGAGCCGGGCACGGAGCGCTCCAGCGTCGGGGCTCCCACCTTGGAGCTGCTGCGTGGGATTGGGAAAGGAGCAGGGAACGGCAGTGCCGTGCAAAGGGGCTGCGTGCAAGCAGGGCGCAGTCGAGCACAAATGCAGGGGTTTTAGGCTTGCAGACACCCTAGCGAGGGGACGTCGGTCACAGAAGAGATGCATTTCGCCCCGTCTGCTTCCAAAAGGCAGGGAGTCTCGTGGCCAAGCTCAGCATCTTGCAACTCTCGCGTTTAGGGAGCCTGCGTGCGGAAAACTCCCGTGCCGCCAACCAAGCACCGCGGAATCCCAGGACAAAGAGCCGCCAGGGAGGATTGCAGGACACACAGCGACATGGGCAGGATGGGGGGGCAGTTATTAGGACTTGCAACCCCCGGTGGGCAGTTATTAGGGCTTGCAACCCCCGGAGCCTTTCCGGGCAGCTCCGTTCTTGCAGCATCCCGGAGCCGGGGGAGCCGCCGGAGGGACCTCGGGGAAACCTCAGGCCACTTCAGCAGAATAAAAAACGGGCCCAGCTCCCTTTTAAGAGCTGCTGAGCAAACAGCAAAACTCAATAAAAGGCTCCGGCAGCCGTTAGGATCATTAATAAAGAGCGGACTTTGAAGCGAGCGGCCAAAGGGTGGCTCGGGTCTGTTTGTGCAGCAGGTTACGTGCAAGCTCTGAGCACCCACGGGTGCCACGAGCCTCCCAGCACCTCCAGGGAGGCGAGAGGAGCCCAAAGGCCACAGGGTGCATTAGATTAGTGCTGGAAAATCGTATCCATCGGGTACATCAAGGCAGCACTGCAGCTTTGGGGGAGTTTTAGGGATCCATCAGTGCCGTTTTCCCCCATAAAAAGCACTCAGGCACCGAGGCAGCAGCCAGTGTTAAGCCCATAATTAGTCCTGTGATTTAACAGAGCTCGTGAACAAGCCTGTCTGAGCATGAGGGAGCACATCAAGACCTCGCACAGGGAGAGCACGCCTAGAAAGGAAGGCTGAAACAGCAGTAAAAGCCTTAAATTGAAAATAAAGGCTTTATATGGAGCAGGGTGACAGCCCAGGGTCCCTGCGAGGGAGGGGACGGTGCGCAGCCGGGCGTCCCCGCGCCCCAGGGCCACCTGCGGCCAGCAGGGCCAAGCACTCGGGCACAGGCTTTGCTGAGCCGGGCCCACGCCGCTGCTCGTCCTGCTTCGATGCCCCCCGCGCTTAGTCGCCCTCCCGCCGATGCATGCGGTGCCGCCTCCAACGCGGGCACCCAGGTGCGGTTCAATGGCCACCAACCTGCAGCTCCCCAAACCTGGGTGCCTCTGTGGCTTCTAGACACAATCCTGCCTCGCTTAGGACCGGTCTGAGGACACTCAAGACCCCAGCTGCCAACAGAAAGGCTGCACCCCCCCCCCCCCATGCCTGCTTTCAACTTCTCCAAAACCCAGAAAAACACAAAAAAAACCCTGCCTGGGAAGAGTTTAGCAGCCAGTCTGTGTCCGAGGCGCACGCCCACCTGAAGAAGCCCTTGCAGCCCTCGCAGGTCATGGCGTTGAAGTGGAAGCCGGTGGCCTTGTCCCCACAGACGCCGCAGATGCGGGGCGCGTTGCGGTCGAGGTCGCCGCCGGCGTCGGGCAGCGACGAGCTGGCCGCCGCGCTCTCCATGTCTGCGGGAAGAGGAGACGCCGGGCACCCCTCCGCACCCAGCACGGCTTGGCGGAATGCAAATCAGATGCAAATAAAGTGTGTTCCCCCCCCAGCCCTCCCTCCCCTGGATTTGACGTGTCCAGACAAAAAAGTTTCTGCTTTGCTCTGTCTCTGCACCATAAAGTAGGGTCTATAACCCTAAACGGGGTCTAGACTAGGCACACACCTTGCACACCTTCCCTAATCTATCCCCAATTCCCCCTTCCCAAGCTCGCAGCCACAAATGCACCTGGGAACACTTTTGCTCTGCTTTGGTGGGAAGAGCCCCCCAGCCAAGCCCGAAGCTCTGCTGCTTTCTCCTCGCCGCGCTCCCTTCCTCGTGCTTCCCAAAGCCTGGAAGGGCCCGGGGGAGCCGCAGGGAAGGAGGCAGCCGCACGAGCAAAACCACCCTGGAGCACCGGCTCCGCGGGCAGGAAGGCTCCCGCACACGGATGCTCCAAGGGCTGCTCCGGAGAGACCCCGAGCAGGGCAGGAGCGGCGCTCCCGCTGCGCATGACATGCATTGCTACCAGGGGGCAGTGCATCGGAGCGGAGCTTTGAGCACATTTCCCGTTATTCAGCATCCACTGGCAGATATCTAGCTGCTCTTAGAAAGCCCCAATATCGAAAGCGACCGAGAGAACAAAAGTTAGAAGCTCTCAAGGCGGCAAATCTCGGCAATGCTATTGCTGCACAACGCACCTGGTAGTTAGGTACCAGGTAGTTAGGTTAGGTAGTTAGGTAGGACTGGTTGCACCTGATTTACCTAGTGAGTTCTCGGCAGTTTCCCCGTGCACAGGGCAGAATTGCTCCTTTTGGGCAACCCTGAGGGCCAGGGAGCTTCAGGCTCAGGCGGCTTCTTGCAAAAAGCATTTAAGAAGCGCACAAAGTTTAAATCCCATGACACACGTGCAAGGAACACATTTGTGGCTGGATTCTTCTCATTTTTATAACATCTGCCTTGAAATACAACAGGGCCAACACTCCTCGTGTCTTCAGCTGTGGTGTTTGAAGGATTCACCCAACTCCGGAGCATCCTCCGGGCAGGAAGAGCCGTTCCTACCTGTGTCTCCAAGATAAGCCATGTGCTGCTGGTGCGCTTCCCAGGAGCTCTGCAGCTGGGACATGGAGCCACCTGCAAGCAGAAGGACACAGCTGACAGGGCCTGGAAGGGCTCAAAGCTCCTGAGGTCACCGAGTTAACAGCAAGTGTCCAGCCGGGCCACGGTTCAGCTCCGGAGGCCTTTCCGGGGCATCCTGGGCTGCTGCCTGCTCTGCCACCCTGTGCAAACCGTGCGCGGGGCAGGATGGGGAAAGCAGATGCCAGGTGGGACCAGCCGGGGGGCTGGTCACTGGAACAGCTCCTTTCCACCCCCATCAACCCAGGGCAGGCAGGTGCTTCCTCCTGGTGATGGCAGAAAGCATTTAGATGTGATCACCCAGGGCTGATACACCAGTGCCAGACTCGATTCCCGCAGGGACGGTGCCGCCACTCCGAGCTGCCACCTCCGGCTTCTTGGAAAACGTTACTCAGCGCCGGCGGTGACGTCTGCGCAGGGCGGAGCGCGCCGCAGTTTCCCCTCCGCCCCCGGGCCGGGCGGCTCCTTCGTCGCGCTGACATTTACCCCTCGGAGCGGGGTCTGCACCGCACCGCGGACCCCGCGACGCTCCAGGAGCAGCGGTTTGCCCGGGGGTTGCAGCACAACTGCAGGGTTTTGCCCCAGGGCCGGCTCCGTGCAGCTGCAGATCCCCCCATCTCCTGTTTTGTATCAGCCTGTTTCCCCAGACGTAAGATACGGGCAGAAAACTTCCCATTTCAGATGATCCGCCCCGGTTTGCAGCGCGTTGTCACCACAGCACAGCCGCAAAGGCCACAACAGCGGCCGAGACCGCTGTGTAGTTGTAACTAACAGTCGCAGCATCAGCTGGGATGCGGCGGCGGTGCAGGAAGCCCTCCGGGCAAGGGTGGGATGCGCGGAAAAGGCTCCCCTGTGCAGAGCGCAGCGGGAAGGACGGGGTGGCGGGAGGAACCTGGCTGTCTGCTATGCAAAGAGCTGCAGCAGAGCCGCTCGCAGGGAGGAACAGCCAGCAGGAGAGCAAAGCGGGCTTCCATCAACTGGAAAAGCTCCGGTTGAGAAGAGAGCGGGAGGATTTACCTGGGAAGCTGAAATCCGTGGCTGTTAACAGCTCAACCTCTGCCCAAAGCAGGGAACGTCCCCTCAGACGAGGTTCTCCTTCCCCCGCTGCAGCCCAGCCCGCGGGGAACCCACCAGGTCACCCTAAGGACCAGGGCGGCTGCACGAGGACACGGCAGGGACATCAGGAACGCAGAGGAGAACGCGGAGCTCACGTTACCTGCTCACCCGGGACACCAGACAGCGCCTGCTCTTCCGCACGGGCCGCGCAGGAGGCTTGGCTGCTTCTAAGCCCCTATTAATCTCCGACTACCCGCAAGAAGCACTCGTCCTGGGAGAACGCATTCCATGGAATGGATTCCATGTATTCCATGGAAGTGTTTTCCTCGTGCGCTCGCTCCCGCTGACTCGCGGGGTTGTGCAACCCCGTGCCAAGACTTGGCAGCGGGGAAGGGATGGAGCTGCGTGCCGGAGCCGCGTCACGTTGTGCACAGGTTTAGTTAAACCTGGGAGCGGGACCACGGCTCTGCCGGCCAAAACTTGGAAGCTGCAAGAAAGGCAGCCTGTATTTCAGCTGCTCCCAGCGGCTCCAGGCTGTGCCAAACTGAAATTTGGCAGTGAAATTAAGGTCAGGGGGGCTTTTTCATTCATTTCGGGGTCAAAGTAGAGAACCAGCAACTCTCCTGTGCCAAAAGGTGACCTTTCATTAGCGAGAAGGAAGGCTTAGCCTTCAGTGTTGAGCCTGATGTCGTTAAACACATCCACGACACACAAAACAAGCCCTTACATACCGTGAAAGTATTTGCCAAGGTCTCCACAGCTGTTTCCCCCATCAAAAGGCATTTCGGGGCCAAATCAAACCCTGACTCTGCCCCGAGCCAAAGCCGAGCCTTGCGGAGACCCCCCTGCTCCTGGGGAAGCTTTCCCGGCGCTCCGTTGGCGCCGCTGCCAGCGCGGGAGGACGCGGCGGCGCTTGGCACGGCCGCTGCCCTCCCGGAGCCTTTGGGCAGCACAACCCGCACTACTCGCACGTGCGGCGCCGGCCCGCGGGCAACCCCGTCTATTTAAAGAAGCAGCAAAAAGGCAATTAAATCATTTCCTCCCGGGGCCCTGGGGAGCCCTGTTACTCCGTGAGATTTATTGGGCAGCGATTGATCCCGTGGCTCCATGTAGAGATGCAGCTGGAGAGGTCCCTCCTGCGCTGCTGCATTGCAGCAACCACAGGAGCCACAAATACCTGTTTGAAGGGTGCTGGTGAGACCCACGACCCCAGCGCAGGCAGGATGATGCTGACCTCGTTATCGGGCGCATCTCCATCCTCCTCCGAACACCGTGTACGGACGCGGAGCGAGCCCAAGGGCGCAGGGAACTGGATTATGGATCTCTGCTAACGCGGTTAGGAGCCTGAACAGCCGCAAGCCCGGAGCAAAGCTGCAGGAACAGCTCTGAGGAGGCCGGGCTGTCCCTTCTGCTGCGTCCAAAACGCGTCAAAACCAGAGAGGGAAGAAAGATCAGGACAGTCCCCAAATACTGGGGTCTCCAGGCTCCGACCTGCCCACGGATCATGGGCCATCCCCACAGTGATATTGCTCTCCTCGGCTTTATAGGGAATACCACTCTCCTGAGATTTTGGGGGAGCAATTCACAGCAGGAGACCCTGCATGGTGCAGAAGCTACCAAGGACACAACCCTCGAGGCGGGAGCTCCAGCACCAAGTCCTCGGGCACACGCGCTGGGCAGCTCTTGGATCTCGGACATGTCTTCTCCTGCCTCATCTCATCCCTGCTTGGACACCGGTTGGGTTTGGAGCCCAAGCTGGAGCAGTCGGATACATCAGTCATGAGTCTCCCCTAGGGAAAGCTCTGGAGAACCTTGTCCACAGCACATAGGAGGCCACCAACCTGGGAGCACAGAAGGGACAAGGGACAGTCGGACATGAGCATCTCCGTGCAACGCCTGTCAACAGCTTTTCTAGAGGCAAAGAACCCCCCGAGCCGCTTCCCAAGCTCTTTGACCTCATGGAGATACTTGGCCGATGCGATCTCGCATGACAATTGGGCAACAAATCCTTACGCATGGAGGTAAAAGAGGAAAATATTTCTAAGCGCCGTTCCCCTGAATGGAAGGAATGAAGTAAACAGATCTCCAGATTACAGCTTGGGCATGGCATCAAAAACACCTCCAGCCTTTGTGCTCGCTGGGGGGATGTGTTGTCATCAGGGTCCCAGAATCCCAAAGCTTGGGGCCAACTCCACAAGCTCAGGAGGACACCGCAAGCACCACGTGAACCTTCACGTTCACCTTTCCCATAAGCAGCTTGTCCTTCCTCACACTCTTCTTCCTCAAGGAGATCAGAGCACACGGCCACACCAAGAAGCTTCTCCTCCAGCTCCTTGCCTGCACGGGGGCTTGGACCAGTATCCGTTGGCCCCATCCCGGCCGCGGAAGAGGAACCGCTCGGAGGCCGCGTTCCCAGCCGATGAGCCTCTCGGACGGCGCGGCCCCTTCGGGGCGGCTCGACGGGTCCGCTCTCGAGCGCGGCTGCCAAGTGGGACGAGACACCCGGCCACCGACGCGGGCGAGAACAATTCCGCAATTCCGGCGGCGCCGCAACGCCCACGGAGCCAGGCGGGAGCCGGCCCTGCCCGGCTCTGCCATTAAACCAGCTCAGGAGCACGAGGGGAAGAGCTGGGTGCTAAGGACCCCTAGGAACCAGCTCAGTCACAAAATCAGTCACCAGAAGCCCTCGGGCACGGAAGGGCTCCAGCAAAGTGACGCTTTTGGGGCAGGGGAAGTCCTTGAGCAGGAGCAGCAGTGAGTCAGCCCCGTCATCGCGAAAGCAACGCTCCATACTGTTATTTCTACAGCGTACATACGTATCAGCTCGGATGCAACCTGCATCCGCCGCCGTTGGAGCTTTCCGGGCGCTTTGGGCTCTTTGTGCCTACCAGATGAGAAATGTTCCCACAGGCTGGAAGTGCCGGCGGCTCCGGCGGGAGCTGCCTTGGGAGCAGCAGTTGCTCGTGTCCCTCGGCAGGCTGGAGCGGGGCGAGGGCTGCTGTTTGGGAGCAGCAGGGCTACCAGGTGCGTTTCGGAGCTGCACTGGTTTCCAGGAATGGGAAAAACAGTTCCCGGGAAGGGGATAAACAATTCCCATTTCCCCCATTGCGGGAAACGGCAGGCGATGACTCCTGCAAGCATTCAGGTGGGACAGGAAACCTGCGGCCTCCCTGCCCTTTCCCTAACCATTGGGGCTGTCCATCCCAAAGGAATGGAGCTTTTCAGCCAGCCAGAGGAGCTGCCTGGCTCCGGGGCACAGCAGAGCCTGGCTCTGCAGCCAAGCGAGCAGCCACAGGTGCAAAACCCAGGAAAACAAGGCAAGAAAGGGCAAAAGCCAGCCAGCCTCTAGAGCAAAGAGCAGAGCGGATCACACATACCAGGGGCAGGGCGACTCGGCACGGAGCAGGAGCGCAGGGAGAGGGAAAACCGCAAGGAAAACCACCCAGCTCCTTCCTAAGCTCCACTCTCGCGGACACAGGACGGTGGATCCAGGACTCCCCCACGCATGGGGACGCTGCCCGGATCCACATGAGCTTTGCCAGGTTTGGCAAAGCAGCAACGGGAACGTCGTGCTCTCGGAGGCCGCGTTCACGCTGCTGCTTTCGGCATCACCTCCGGAGCCCCTTCCCAAAGGGATGGATTCAAAGAGCAGTGCAGCGTTGCCTGGAAGAGCGGGACCGCCGCGGGCTCGTTTCCCGCGCCGCGGGAGGATGTTAGTCATGCGGGAGAAGTGACGGTGCCGGGGCCGCCCGCGACCCACGGCCCGAGACGCTCGGGCAGGGGAAACGCTGCCTCTGCACCATGAGTCGCGTGGGTTTCCCTCCGCTCAACGCAACTATGAACATCTGCAACCGTTTAAGGGAACGGGGCCACCGGGAAACGCTCTGGATCATCTCAAAAGCTGCCTGGGGGATCTCTCCAGCGGCAGGAACCGCTGCCCACCCGCACCAAGGTCCAAATCCAGCCACATGCCCTCCACGCTGGGGCAGAAACCGCCTCCCGTTCCACTAGGGAAAACCCTGACGGACACAGCAACAAGTCGAAACTCCTTCCTGTTCCAGCTCTGAGCTCCCAACGCTCACGTGTGGCCGGCGTGGAAATGGGATTTTCCTGCACGCTTTTGATTCAGGAGCGACGAGACGCCGGGAGCAGGACATGTCACACGAAGTGACCGGGAGGCAGGTGCCCGAGCGCCGGATTCCCGCGAGGCTCCAGCCCATCCAACGTCCTCTGCGAGGCAGCACAGCGCCCGCGAGCTGCTCTGCCCACGTGCCACGGAGGAGCCCGTCCCCAGCCTCCTCCGGAGGCTCCCGGCACACCTCCCTATGGACACGAGGCTCCAAGAGCTCCAGGAGAAGCTGCTCGAGAGAGGCCAGCGATGGAAGAGCAGCACCCAGGACCTTCCCTGTGCCGAGCATTCATTAGCTCGGGGAAGGAGATGAGCAAAGTCCAGACGAGAGCCAGTGCTGCTTGGATTCTCCGGTGTCTTTTATTCCACTACTGCGGGCTGGGGAAGCAGGGAGAGGCAGAAACCGGGCTCAGACAGGCAGCTCGGCTGCAAAAACAGCCCATTTTGACCGTCTCGAGGAGCTCCACGGCTGCAGAATCAAACACGCCGGGGGCTACTGCGAAATCAAAGCAGGGATAAATCAAATCCAGGCGCGAGCGGCGCAGGTGGCACACGACGGCCGCGGGGAGCCGCGGACTTGTTTGCGGCGCCGTTTCGGTCCCAAACGGCAAGTACGCGTTTGCTGGCACCATCTCTCCCCACCTGGCAGCACAGCCAGGGCAGCTGCTCCTTATTGCACCACGACGGTTTTGCTGAGGTTTAACACCCAAATTCCACGGGCAGCATCCCGGGTGTCACGCTCCGCTCTCCCTGAGCAACGCGTTTAACTGCAGCGCAGGTTTGCCAGGTGTTATCTCACAGAGCAATTTCTCCAAGCTGATTTTTCCACTGGAAACGCTGCCTTTCGCTTAGTCAACACGATTTCCACACCGATATCACCGGCACGGGGCACAGCAGCAGCAGCAGGCAGCGCATTCGTGGGCGGCCAATTGCCCGGCACAGCAAGGATGGGTCAGCGGGAACGCTTTGCTCCAACGGCTTCCCAAATCCATATGAATAATTACATCTGGAAACGCTTCCTTGCAATGCTTGGCATCACTGGGAAACCTTCCTAGATTTCAACTCTCTCTGCCTCTCACTCCAACCTGCCTCCCCTTCACCTGTCCCTCTGTTTTTCAGTTGCTAATTCCACTGTAAACACAGCCCAGAAACCTTTTCACTATTCCAAAAAAAAAAAAACAAAAAAAAAACCAACAGGAAGGGCCAAGGGAAAGGAGCTGTCCCTGCATGTGGCAAATACCACACTCCTTACACGTTTCTCCAGCGTTTCGAAACATATGCAAACAGGTTCTTGCTAAGAATGCAAACTGTTCTCGTGCTCTCCGGAGAGATTAGAATCACACCAAGAATACACAACCCCCCAGGGACTCCCTGGCACCTTCAACACTGAAATAAGAGATTTATTCTATCAAGCCAACATTCGTTTTAGTAGTGAGGGGAAAAAACTGCTTCAGTTGATAGAAACTGTGGAATCCTACCAAAAATCAGCACAGGAATAATGAGCCCCTGAAGCCATGACTGGGATTTGGGAGCTGATGAAACCTGGAACGCAGCTGGAAGGAGCAGGTGAAGCTCTTCTGGAGCCCGGGTCCAGCTGAATTGCTCCTGGCTCCTTTCCTACTGCCCAGGAAAGGACAGGAGAACCAACAAAACCAGGTGAGATGCTGCAGCATGGCCAAACCTCCAATTCCAGAGCCTGGGATTTGCTTCAGTGCTTCGTTAAGTGCTGGGCAAGCCCCCCAGGTGACACTTCCAGCCGCCCATAGCAGGCTGCGTGGGGACACCCGTCCTCTGCAAGGTGCCAACCCAGAGCCCTGCACAAGGAGTCCAGAATCCAAGGTCTCAGCGTTGGATTTACCAGCGGGAGCACAGGGGGAAACGAGATAGGGCCCTTCTGAGGCTGCCGAGCGGCTCCGGGGGCCTTTGAAGTAATAAACTCATTCGCCAAGATCCCCGGAGATAGAGGACAAGACCTGGAGTGATCTGGTGTGTTCCCACATACCCCGGGGGGGTGACAACAGCAGCCACCAAGGACCAGATTCCTGCTCCCAAAGCTGCTCAGGAGCCGTTTCTGAGATCCCGCTGTCCTGGAAATATCTCCTTGTTAATTCACTGCATATAAAAAGCTTTAAGGTTTCAGATTATCCCACTTTCCATCGCAGCCCACCCTGTCCCACCCAGATCCCTCTCCGGCATTCCCTGCAGCCCTGGTCTCCTTGAGCTCCTAATGGGGCAGCAGTTCCTCTCCTAGAGCCAGAGGCAACTGTCTTCAACCGGGGAGCCCTACTGACTGCTTAAAGGTCAACCACAAATCCAGGATCTACATGACAAAACAAACCTGCTGTGCCACCAGATCAGAAGAGGAAACGGTAAAATATGGAAACCTGAAAGAGCCGGGAGGACATCCCCATAGCATCCCTTGCCTAGGGCATGAGAAAGAAAAGTGACCAGCAACCCTTGCGTTTGAGAAGAAAATTTCCCTGAAAATGAGTTTGTCAGAATTAGAGCCTAGTGCTGTGTACCAGGCACCCTAAGGACGGGATGAGCCCCACGAGCCGAGCCCTGGGGTGTCCTCAGCCCTGCCAGGCCGGCCACTCTCGGGGCTGTTGACCCGCAGGAGGTACCCAGGGACCTGCTCAAGAACACAACATTGGAGAGCAAAACAGAAGCGCGTTGGAAGCTCCTCCAAGCGGCTCTGCCGGCATCCTAGCGCTGCGCCGTGCTGCCGGGAACGCGCTGCCCTCGGCTCCGGCATTTCCGCAGCCACCATCGCCGAGCAAGGTCGCCCACCTGAGCCTTTGTTGCCACCACAACTCGCAAGCGCCCACGTCGTTCCCGGTGCAGAGGAAGGGTCTCCCGCCCTGCTTAACAAGCGGGTATCCGTTCTTCCCGAACGCTGCTTGGATACTGAGGAAGACGGGGATCCAAGGGGGATCCAAGGGTGCCTTAGAGCTTCCCAGCGCTCTGCCCACCAGCTCACGCCGCCCAAGGTGAGCGAGTGCTCCCCGTGCCGACCAAGGCCGCGGCATATTCCGCAAAACTAAGCAAGTTTAAATATAGCCCCTGCCTGTATCTTATCTATGGCTGCTTAACAGGCTCATTTATGGAGCCACGGGTGTTTATTCGCGAGGATCCCTCCGTGTCAGCACTGTCCACGTCTCCGCAACCAGCCAGAGGGAAAACTTCCCATGTGCAGAGGCCTGGAAGCAGCAGGCGGCTCCTCCAGCCCCGGTCCCCAAGGGGGGCAGATGCCACCTCCCCAGCCAGGATCACCCCGTGGGAGACGCCGCTCTTGCCCAAGCGGGAGGGAGCCCTGACAAAGCCGGGGGAGAGGTTGCGTCTTGCAGCCACATTGAGAAATGCAGGTGCACCCACACGCACCGGGCGCCCGACTCGATCCGGGCGGGATGGAAAAGCCCGGAGCAAAGGGAAACGCAGCCTTCTGCTCCGGGGAATCCTTGTAAAGAGGCACAGGGAGACTGTGCGTGAGGAACAACCTCTAAAATCCACCAAACTCACCTCCTTCGACGCCCAGGCCGTGCTTTCACCCCGAGCCTCTCCAAATTCTCTGGAAATCACAACACGGAGACGCTCGCAGAACTTGGGTGTAGGACAGGAAAGCCACTCGCCAGCGTCAGCAGGTCGCCACCGTCCTCAGAAGACGACATATATTCCTGGAAACAAGGAAACTGCTTTTAGACGCGCCGATAATAGTCCACATGTTTTGCCACTTTGACACACCGTTTCCAGCAATTAACGACCCAAAGTCGCTGCCACGTGTGAGGTTTACCTTGATACCAGCGCTCACCACAGATAAGAGAAGCCTTTGAGGTGCAAGTGATTCAGCAAATGATGGTGGAAACACTTCATTTAACCACCCCGCTATGCAGCTCCCTTGGCTGGAGCCAGAGCAGGGTCTCCTGGCCACGAGCAGCACCTGCTCCTTCAGGTCACTGCTGGAAAGCATCACCTTGGAGCCCACGAGCGCCTTCGACCTTCCTTATCTCCCTGGACTTTGGCTCTCCGTGCGGTTTATGTTCCTCGTGCCCTGGTTTCACGGTCCTTCCCTGTCCCCACCCCGCAGGCTGGAGCTGCCTTCGCCTCCTTGGAGCCCCTTGCAACAGGCTCAGGAGAAAGAAAGCTGCCGGGGCACCCGGTTTCACTGCAGCCTTTCTACCCTGGGGCAATTTGAATGCTCCAAGGGGAGCAATTTCCTTCCTAAGGGGGGAGGCAGCAGAGCCTGGAGCTGACCCCGCGGCACGAGCTCGTCCGCGACACGGGCAGCAAAACAGGGGGTATCTCCCAGTATCTCCAGCCTGGATGCCATGAGTCACGGGACCGTCCCACGGCCGCCGTTCCTCGCGTTGCAAAACCGCCCCGCGCCGCTGCCCACCGCTCGCCCCCGTCGCGGGGTGTTGGCGGACGCCCGCGCGGCGGCTGTTGCCCCGGAACGGCTGTTGCGCGGGACCTGTCGCACAGACACGACCACCGCGCGCTCAGGGTGCAGGGAACGAGCGCAGCAGCCGGGGCGCACCAGAGGAATTGGGGGCACAAGCCCCCCAAAAGCGGCTCCACTTTGTCTTCCATGCGAAAGGGGGATAAACCAGCGGCTCAGGTGCACCATTTCCCATCACACAAACCTCAAAAACCCTTCAGGAGCTGCTCACGTCCCCAGAAACACTCCCGTGTGAGGGGGAAAGAGCAAACGCAGCAGGAGGAACCCGCCGGGCTGCCCCAGCCCTCCGCGGGCACCAGACGGGGAGCCGGCGCCGCAGCTACTTTCCCCAGCCCCCAAAAACAGCCGTTTGGCCCCAAAAGCTGCGGCCCATGGGATGCACGGCAAGCACTGGCCGTTTCGCACGGGCTGTGCGACGCACGGGGTGCCGAAACGCCCCGTGACCGCCTGTGAGCCAAGAGGCGGCTCCGGGACTACGCAAAGGGGTGACCGCCCCCCGAGAGCTCCGCTTGGGAAAGGCCACGGAGAGCGGGGCCGGCGCAGCGAGCGGGAGCAGACGGATGGGCGGGAAGAGATCCCAGGCGGCCCCAGGCTCATCCGGAGCTCCCGGGGGACGCTCGGGAGGCGACGCAGCCGCGGCGGCGTCCCACGCGTTTATTCCCTTCCCACCTGCGCCCCGCCGCACGTTTGCGCTCGCAAACCACCGCCTCGGACGCGGCACCTTTCCGAGGAAGCAGCATTTAATTCCCTGCCTGTGCAACCAGGCTTCAGGAAAGTCCCTCGAACGGCATTGAACGCGGCTGCTAAACACTCAGGGCCGGGGCAAGACGCAGGCGCGGGCTCGCTCGCCTTGCGGAACTGCAGGAAAACCCGTGCCACGGTTCAGCTGACAAGTCCCCGCTTGGCCGTCACGCTCGGGCGTCGCGGGGAAGAAACAGACCCATTTACAGCCTCTTTCGAGCCTCATCATCTCTCTTGCCGTGACTTGGCACTTCAGCACTTCCCCTTCAAAAGGCACAGGAAATTTGGGCCAGATTCACCTCGCTTTGGCTCAGTAACAGCAGGTTAAAGATTATTCCTGCGCATCCCTCTAAGTGAAGAGGAGAATAGTCACTTTTTCAAGTTAGCTATTAAATGGGGGAAAAAAGTTAGTGTTCTGGGCTTGTTTCCCCTCATCCTTCTCCCCAGCACAGAGCTTAAAGTAAAAGCACTCGGTAAAACTGACCCAAGGCAAATTCTTGCCCGACAAAATATCTATTATTGTTTTGTGCCTTAATCTACCGTTGTTTCATGCCCCTGTTGTTTGAGATCCTGCTGCAAGATCTCATGCCCGATCTGTTTACAGGCGAGCGGGATCTCGGGCAGACATCTGGCTACGCCTCCCGCACCTGACGGTCCTTCCGTGATTTCCAGGGCACCGGATCCCCTGGAGGGACAGTCGTCTGAGCAACACCCGTCCGACGGCACGGCTTGCCAAGTTCCCAAGCAGCGGCTCGCCGAGGCGCTCACCCGGGACGCCGGTGCCGCCAGGTCCCCCATTGCGCTGTCACGTCAGGCGCTCGGGCTGCACAGAGCACTGACGACGAGCAAAGAGCCCGACTTTGCTGTCCCCGCTTGGGGACCGCTGGCTGAGACGCATGCAAAACGCTACCGAGCTGGGGACTGTCCCTTAGCGAGGGACAAGCAGAGAGGCCGATGCCCCAAGACAGGTTAAAGCAGCAGCTTTTTGGAAAGGAGTGGGCAAAAGCAGCACTTGTTGTGCCTGTTGCCCTGCTACGACTCCCAAGACATCCAGGGATTCCCAGCTCCCGTTTGGGGACACTTTCACAAACACCCCAGCAGAGCCGACAGCTGCAAACCCAGACTGAATTCAGGAACCAGCTGCGTTCGAGGAGGAGGAAGAGGGGTTTGCAGCAGCGAGCAGTCACAGCCGCACCGAAGCGGACAGAGTCAACACTCCTCAGCCTCCCCATCGGTGCCGCGGCACCAACGCGGATGGAAGCGGGTGCGGGATGCGGAGGGCTCCCGGGAAGGCACCGCGCGCTGCCCGTGGCCGCCCGGGCTCCTCCGCCACGGCCGCGGAGGAAGATGAGTCACCGCGCGGCTCGCGTGGGAGGGGAACGCGCCGGCAGACGCTGCAAACGCGGCGCCAACTTCCCGTGAAAAGCAGTTTCCGAAGAAACTTCTTTGGGCTGAAGCCTCCAGTCCCGGCCTCCACGGGCCACCACGAAGGGACTGTCACCTGTGTCCTAAAACAGCCACCCAATCCGCCCTCCTGCACACCCTGCTCCCTTTGGGTGCTGGTTCCTGACCCAAAGGGAAAGGCCCCCCCTTTTCCTCTGTGTAGGAAGAGCAGGAATATTCCCAGTACCTTCACTTTCCCTTTGCGCTGGGAGCCAGCGGATGACGAGGGGTCTGAGCGGTCACATCCAACGAGATCCCTTGGCAATAGCCGGAACAGCCCCTAGGGAAGGAGAGGAGAAACGAGCCCCATCAGCACCGCAGCTGGGTTTCAGGATGGGATTCGATTCCCTGCAACTTCATGGGGTGCTTTAAAGGTGACTGTTAAATAGGAGCCAGGGTCCCTGAGCCAGGGACGGGGCAAGGGGGGACAGACCTGAGGCAGGGCAACACCAAAGACCCCCAGTACAACCAGGGGTCACCTTAAAGCAGATGGGGACAGGGTCAAGAGGAGGACTCCCCCGGCCCCATTTCCAGCCTAAAGACCCTTCAGAAAGGAGGAGAGGGAAGGGGAAACACTGCCCCCCCCACCCCAGGACCCCCAACTTATCCGTATACAAGGCAGGCTCTTAAGTATTTAGGAGGTGAAAGACCTCAACGGAGCATAGACTGTTGGGGAGGGGGAATACACCTAAGCCCCAAAAGCACAGGTGGACAGAGGGTGCAAAGGGACCCCCAAAATGCCCCTGCCCCTCAGGCTAGAGGGTGCAGGGCAGTCCCTCCAGGACGCCAAACCGAGGGGAAAAGGGACCAGGACCCCCCTCCTTCCCCAAACCGAGGCAGGGACCCCAAAGCAGAGCAGGACAAGGGGTTCCAGGGATAACCCGGACCCCGCTCCACGTGCACCTGGATCCCGCCCCGCATCCCGGGGAGCACCGGAGCCCCGCGGCCCCTCAGAGCTGGGCTCGCCCGGTGCCCCCCGCCCGGGCTCCGTTACCTGCGCTCCGGACGCCGCCACCCCCTCCCTCCCCCGCTGCCCGGGGCCGCCTTTTGACGGGAACCGGCCGGCTCGACGCTCCGCCCCCAGGCTCGGCCCCGCCCACGTCCCCGCCCACTATTCCGTCCCGCCAATCACAGCGCCGCAGTGCCGCGGCCGCGCCCCCAGAAGGGGCTAAGCCCCTCCAGCCCCGCCCACCAATGCCTTATTAGGCGGCCGTAGCTCTAAGCCCCGCCCATTAGGGGCGTGGCGATGGCTGGCGGGAGATCGCACGTGGGCGCCTGTCCGGCGGGAGCCGCCCGGGACCCCCGGGACCCCCCGGCCCGGCCCGGCCCGAACGGGCACTGCCCCCTGCCCACGGCTCCCAGGAAGCCCCGGAACCCAGCAGCAGCTTCCCGGGTGTCCCCTGGTATGTCGTGGGTGCATCTTTTTGGGGTGAAATGTTCCAAAAAGCAGAGTGGGGCCAGGACAGCACTGCGGCCATGGAGCTGCCCCTGCCACCTTCCTCCTGCAAGTGCTGGAGATGTAGGGACTAATTCCCTTAGGGAAGGGGGACAGGGTCCCGCAGGACGCCTGGCTTCAGCTCTCACTGCAGGTCAGGTCGCGAGCAGGGCCCTCAGCCACGCAAAATGACATTGACAGCAATGCGAGCCAAGCCGGAGCGCGGGGATTTGGGACGAGCAGGTTTGTCTGGTGCCGCAGCCCCAACGCAAAGCCGCTCAATTGCCCAGACACGTTCCAGCCCCGCTTGGAAAACACGCAGGTCGGTCCCTCATTTTCCATCCTCCCCAAAGCCACCCCGAGGGTGGCTGGGAAGCAGCAACGCTCGACAGCAGAGTGACATAATGTCCCTAAAGTTTAGCATGTGTCCCCTTAAACTTAAAACTCCAGAGGGGAAAAATGCCCCCCAGCAAACCTCTCGGGAGTGAGACAGCGAGGGCGGCAGCGTCAGGGCAGCAGCAATCACCACCCCTGAGCTGCGATCAGAGAGTTCAACGCCTTCCATTTGCCGGGGAAAAACGTTTCACTAAATGTTTTGAAATGGATTTAATGAGGCTAATCAGAGGGGGAAGAGAACATTATGTCTGGGAGGAAATGGGAGTTCGTTAGAGGGAAATTGGGCACTTTTTGGGGGCAGTGGGGAGACAACCTGTGTCGTTCACGATCTTCAACCCGCCGGGAGCGGAGCATTGTGCTCCTCAATTGGATAAATCAGGGTTTGGCACCCAGGAAAACATCGTGACAGGGGGAAAAGCAATGCCTGCAACAGCAGCTAATGGGAAGCACTTTGCAGCTTGGAGCTAAGGGGGTAATGGGGCTGCCGTGTGAGGCGGTGCTCCCGGGAAACGCTCTGCAGAGCCGGAGCGGCCATCCCGGCACCTGGCTCCCTGTGCGCCCGTCCCGGGAAGCGTCTGCCGCCGGGATCCTCCAGCCTTCTCCGGGAGGAGGCTGGCTCAGGCGCTCGATTCCTCCTCCAGGCAGCAGAGACTTCCTGGGAAGTCATTGCAAAATCCCACCGGGTGTGCTCATGGCGCCACCTTTGGAGATTCTCTGGTGTCTGCTACGGGGTTGAGCTCGCACAGCCTGTGCCCTGGGGCTTTCCTCTACCTTCAGAGTTATCCGAGTCCATTCATGCCAGGGGGGTTTGGGCAGCATCCCCATCCTGCAGCTGCTAGTTGGGATGTGTCGCCTTGGGAACCCTCGGAGACATATGGCCATCCATCACTGATAATTACAGGCAAGTTATTAGCATCATGAGACAGGCGAGCCAGGAAACCTCCCTCATGCCAGCATTTTGCTCCTGGGAAGGAGAGATTAAATGATCCATAAAGTTTCCAGCAGCAGCCATAAGTTGGCAGCGAGAAGGGCAGATCCAAAGCTGGCGCCCCAAAGGCATCCACCCCTGCAAGGTTATTGGGAAGATTTTCTTGCAATAACCTTTATTTTTTATGGGTTTGGTTAAGGGGCTGGAGATTAGCAGGGGAAGGAATTCAATTTTCCACTGAGCTCTCACATTTACAGCGTCAGAAAATGACGGCTTACACAGGACACCGCTGACTCACACGCAGGTGGGTTTATAAGCAGCAGTTGGCTGATTTGGGGCAAAATTCTACATTATTTGTTCCCTGTGTTATCCAGTGGAGACACACATCCTTGAGGATGCTGAGAAATGTTCCCATAAATTATTTACTCCCCTTTGTAAGGTTTTGGCACAGACAGGATGGTGCAGGCCATGGCAGGCCAAGCTCAGCTGGGGCAAATAGGCGCCAGGCAAGGCTTTTCCAGCCATAAAACTGGGGAGAAAAAAAAAAAAAAAAGAAAAAAGAGGGAAAATAATAAAACGAGGAAATAACAAAGAGCAGGAGGGTTCATGCGGGGAGACGGGGCAAAGATCGGCGCTCGGGCTGCGCTCCCAGGCAGCGCGGCGCGGCCACGGCCGCTTTCCCCTGCTTAGCTGAGCACCGACCCACGTCGTGACACCTCCCGGGGGGTGGGGGGGGCTGAGGCAGCCGTCACGGCGCATGCGCGCCCTCACTCGATCGCCCTCACCTCCACGGTCCTCATGCGCATGCGTGCGGCGCAACGGGGAGGGGCCCAAGGGGCGCGCGGCTGCTGTCTCGGTGCGCATGCGCAGGAGGACACGCCCTGTACCGTGCATTCCCCCGCCCCTCCTCCAGCTGCGCATGCGCTCTGCCTGCCACGCCCAGAAGGGTGTGGCCGCAGCCACCGCCCTGCCACGCCCTCGGCGCAGGCGCATTGAGACAGCGGCCTCGCCCAGGCGCGGCGCGGCGTCATCACCCCAAGCCCCGCCCACCTACCCCCGGGGCGGGGCTTGCCGTCACGAGGGGCGGGGCCCTCATAACCCCGCCTTTTACGCCCCGCCCGCAGCGGTTTGCGCGTGCGCAGATGGCGGAGGGTGGGGCCTGCGTTGTCATAGGGACGGCGGCTGCGCGTGGGGCAGGTCCGGTGGGCTGGGCCGGGGATTTAGGGGCGTTTTGGGCGGGCGGGCGCGTAATTTTGGGGGGATTGGGACCTGGTGCGTTTTGGAGGAGGGGTTTGAGGGTATCTCTGGGGTGGGTACCGGAGGAGAATGTTTGTGGGGCTTTTTTGGCGGCGGGGGGCATATGGTGGTGTCTCTTTTGTAGGGGGTTCAGCGAGGCCTAGGTCTCTGGCGGGAGGTTTTTCTGCTTTTTATTTATTTGTTTTTTTGAACTCTGGTATTTCTGAGGGGCTCTGGGTCTCTGTGGAGGGGTTGGCTCTGTGGTGAATGCCTGATGGGAGGGGGTCCCTTTTTGATGCTCCTAAGGGGCACCTAAAGGGAGGGGCTGTCCCTTTGGGGGTCTGAGGGGGTGTGGGTCTCTCTGGGGTGGGTGCGTGGCTCTGCTGGGTGCTTGGGAGGGGGGGTGCTGTGACCATCACCCCCCTTTTTGAGCTGTGATTTCCCTCTCCCCCCAAGCCTTGTCTGTGAGCGCTGCTGCTCCTGCCGTCCCACGGTGCTGCCACCATGGGCTCCCTGGTCTCCCTCCCCACCGGCGCCGCCGCCCCTCCGCGGGCCGGGACGCGCGTGGAGGACGACGAGGACCTGCTCGACAGCCGCGACCGCAAGGAGGACATCGCCAGGTTCCCCTACGTGGAGTTCACGGGGCAGGACAGCATCACCTGCCCCACGTGCCAAGGCACCGGCTGCATCCCCACAGGTGACTCTCCACCCCCAAATACTGCCTGCACAGAGCATAAATCTTCCTTATTGAAGTGAGATAACTGCTTTTTGTAGACCTTTCTCCCCCAGAACAGCACCAGCACTGATTTTGGAAGTGCTTTTTACTTCATAGCTTATTTTTCATGGAACTTTCTATATATAAAAGCTAGTTTCTTGCCCAGCTTAGTGCTGGGACTAAAGTGGGCTCAGCAGCATCCTGGGGATTTGATGCTCCTCAGCAATAGGAGCAGCCTCCCAAGGAAACAGAGCTGCCTAATGTGCTCGTTCCTCTTTCCAGAGCAGGTAAATGAGTTGGTGGCTCTGATTCCCTACAGCGACCAACGGCTTCGTCCGCAGAGAACGTAAGTGCAGGCTCCGAGTGTAACTGCGCCTTTGTGAAGGGTAAATGGGGCTCTTTGTTGCTTGTGGCCACGACTAAACAGTTCCCCCTGTCTGCAGCCTTTCCTTTGCCTGGTGTTTTTGTTTCAGTCAGAGTGTGCCAATAAATACAGTTTAAAATGTAACTGTAAATGCTTCCTGTCAAATCCCACCGTAGGGGTGAGCGCAGAAACAAGGCTGCTACTCATACCCTTTGTCCCAGTGCCCCTCGCTGAGGCTTTGGGAAGGAGCTCCTTTACCAGCAGCACAAGCACCAGCTTGGGGAAAGCAGCAGAGGGCCCCGAATGGCTCTTTGGTCACTCATTACCAAAAAAATAAACTGGGTGAAGGGCAAAATTGAGCAATTTCACGTATCAAAAGCAGGTCTTCCCCAGGGAAGAGCAGGTGGTTGCTCCTTGGTGGGGCTGAACTCTGGATACACGGGCGGGCGCGGGATGAGGAATCCCTGCGTGCCTCCCCAGGAAGCAGTACGTGCTGCTCTCCGTGCTGCTCTGCCTCCTGGTGTCCGGCCTCGTCGTCTTCTTCCTCTTCCCGCACTCTGTCCTCGTGGAAGACGATGGCATCAAAGTGGTTCAAGTCTGGTTCGACAAGAAGAACTCCGTCGTCATTCTCGCCATCACGGTAAAGTTTCGCAGCATCCGCGTTTGTGAGGGGGGAGATTTTACCACTGAGCTGCAGCAGAGGCTACAACTGCTCATATTTCTCCTCCTTATTGACCCAGGCCACTTTAAGGATCAAAAACTCCAACTTTTACTCGGTGACAGTGACCAGCCTGACCAGCCAGGTGCAGTACATGAACACTGTCGTGGGGAGCCAGCAGATCACCAACGTCTCCAGCATCCAACCCCTGAGTGACAAACTGGTGTGTATTTTTCATTGTACCCTCTGGGACGTTTTTTATTTGTGACACAGATGGGGAAAATTAGGCAGCTCATGTAATTGTGATCTAGCTGTTCCCAAAGCTTTTGGGACAGGATAGTCTTAGCACTGAAGTCTGTGGTTTTTGTCACCCAAAGGGGAAGCTGAAGTAGGAAAGCCCTCAAAGGGCTGGTTTAAATGGGGGCTGAGGGAGTGTGAGTTGGAAAACTGTGTGTGAAAGTCTTTTTATTCTCCCTTTTGCAGGTGAATTTCACTGTGAAGGCAGAGATGGGCGGACCTTTCTCTTATGTGTAGTAAGGATTTGCTATTTTATATAGAAGACTGGGGAGAGGGCAAGTTTAAATTAATCAGAATTCACCCTGGAAAATAACAGTTTGCTGGAAGCTTCTTGAAAGATGACATCATCGAGAGGTGGTTGGGGGGTCGGTGTTTCCAAATAAGCGCAAAAGGGGGAAAATGTCATCAGAAGCTACCTGGATTCCACAGATGTCAGATTTCTGTGCTAAATCCTGCTCAGTCCCCACTCACCTCCTTTGCTCTGGTCTCTTCCAGCTTCTTCTGCACGTTTCCCAAGGTCAAGGTGCACAACATAGTGATTTTTATGAGGTACGTTGGTCTCTCCTCACTACCCCTGACCCCAAGTTGGGTAAAAAAAGATGACGAGTTGGGTGGGGACGAGTGCAGGTTGATCTGAGCCCTCTGGTGAGGGGTTGTTGGCTCCCAGGGCTGTAGCTCCTTGCCCCGTGTGTCCCTTGCACAGCAGGGAGCAATCTTGGGTGCACTTAGTGAGTATTAGAGGACTCGCAGCTTTCCGAGGGGCACGAGGAGCTGCTGGTGACACGGGCTCCCCAAAACTGCCGTAACTTAACAGAGAACCCCCGGCCTTTTTGCCCCGGCCCCTGAATGGCGCTTTTCTGCCCCAGGACGTCCGTGAAGCTCTCGTACATCGGCCACGTCACGCAGAGCGCCCTGGAGAAGTATCACTACGTGGACTGCAGCACCAACTCCACGGCCTTCCCCGAGCCCCTGCCCACCCCGTCGGGCACCAGGAAGGGTGGCCCGTGAGGGCCCGCGTCCCGTTTGCCATGGGAGGTGCCTGTGCAGACAGATACTTTCCCCTCCGTGCTAAATGAGCTGTGAAAAGGACTGTGGACTTTTGAATGGAAGCAGAAGGATCCCGGATAACTCTGACCCCCGGAGCTCTGGGTTCTGCACTGTTCTGCATTGCTGGCCTGTTGCACGGATCGCTTCCAGGTAGTGTTCACGTCCTTTGGAAAGGGAATTTTTGCTTGTGAGGGACCTGCTGGGCCTGTTTTCGCCTTCAGTTCCAAAGAACAAGATTTTTGGTAGGGGACCAGGCCCTGGAAGTGTCATTCCTTGCAGGCCAAGGGTGAAAAGCAGCTGTTGGGAAGCTCAGCGCTGTTTCTGCTCCTTCTAGGGCCATCTAATTAGTTCTGTGCAATTAATAGATTCCTCCTTTGTTCAGTGGCAACACCTCCTCAGCATGTTTCAAGGCAAGACTTGATAAAAAGGGATGGCTTCCTGCAAGGAATGTGCAGATAAAGCGCCCGGCCTTCATCTGCGCCGATAAAACTGGTGTTAGAAGGGAAACGACCTGAAAGCCTCTGGTTGTGCAGGCTTGCTTTGTGACAGCAGCAATTTGAGGCCAGCGACACCAAAACTCCCCGGTGACGAGGACGACCTCAGGAAGGGCAGCACGGCCGGGACGGATGCGGTGCTGAAGAGCTCGGTGCTCCTCTTCCTCCCTTGGAACTCCTGCTGCTGCTTTCTGGAGATTTGGGACAGATCCATGAAGGGACAGTCCCCTGGAATCCTCTTTACCCTGTGTATTCCCTGTAGGAATTGAGACTTAAACATGCAGGCGCCTCTGTGCTGGTTTCCTTTGAGTGCCCTTTGGGCAAAGGAGCAGATTTAAACCCATTTGGAGCAAGTTAGTGTGGATTTCTCCCTTCCAAAGCACCCTTTGTTCCAGAAGGATGCGATTTTGCTCCCATTTAATCCCTGCAGTCTCCTGCATCTGTCCCTGGGTTGGGGACATGCAGGGGAACAGCGCGGAGGCTGTGACGGCAGCTATTGAGATTGGGGTGTTTTTATTTCAATGAAGGATTCTTTATTTGGGGTGAATTTAGAGGAAAAAAATGTGAATTTTTAAGTGGCACTTCTGCCTAGCAGATTTTCTAGAGCTGAATTTCCTTAATAAAGGTGAATCACACGTTAGAACTTGTGGCATCCTCCCTCGCTACCCCGTGCTGCAGAAGCACCTACTCTTTCACAGATGATTTTGGGGGAAAAGGGGGATTGAGCAGGAAAAAAACAAGCTCCCGGGGCTGGTAATTGGGGCTACCCTGGGTGATGCCAGAGCCCCCGGGCTCTTCAAGGGCATTTATTTTGCAAATCCCTCTTAATCCCTCTTAATGAACGGCTCCTGCCAGTGTTTGAAGGATCCCAAGCTGGCAGGGGCTGGGTCGCGTGTCCCGACGGGCCCGGTGCCACCTCGGCGCCCGTCGCGGGAGCCTCTGAGCCCTGCTGGGCCTTGGCAGAGGGCTTTCTCTCTTATACACTAAAAATCATTCTGCTTTTAATGCAAAATGACCCTGTTTCTGCAAAAAAATACCCCTGGCTGCAGCGAAGCCACCATCGTGCGTCTCTGGGGAGGCAGCGCCGGGTTTGGCCCTTGGTGTGCGTAAGGATGGAGTGAATTATCCCAGATCCCCTAAAAACATCCTGCAGCAGCGGGTGGAAATTTGTTTATTTTATTATGATTATTTTTTAGGGGAAAAGCAGCCTGTCGTTAAGGTAGGAAAGAGGATTTGGGAAGGGGAGGAAGGTGGCGGAGCCGGAGGAAGGCAGGGGAAGGGAGCTGCCCCCGAGGCAGCTCTGCCCGCCCCGACACTGCCACATACACCCTTCCCTTTTAGTTTATGTGCCCCAAATTGCACTTTTTTTTGGGGAAAAAAGGGCACTAGAAGCTTTGGGGTCACTCTCCCCACCTCACTTTAACAGGTATTTAGAGGAACCTCTCCCAGCTCTCAGCCAAGCGCCTCCTTTTCCCAGAGACTTGGCCTCAGCCCCCCCCTTTCCCACGAGTATCACTGATTTTCACTGTTTTCACTGTTTTTTACTGATTTTCAAGGCCTGGAAGAGCCCAAACCGCCCCGGCGCTATCGCTGCGGCCGCAGCCTCCCGCCTGCTGCGTTTGCTCCCGCTGCTCGAGGCTTTTCCCACTTATTTTCCCCGTTTTTGCCTCCTCCCCTCATTTTAAGGCTTTTTTTTTCCTCCACGTGAAATAACTTAAACCCAGCAAAGCTTGAAATTTGCCCTGAAAACTTCCTTTTTCGGCCCCGAGGAAGGGAGAAAACAAAAAGGCAGCAAAGGGAAGAAGGGCCCCGGGCGCGAGACGGGAAAGAAAAGGGCACCGCTCCACTTGTACTTTCCACCAAAGGCTTTTTTTTTTCTTTTTTTTTCTTTTTTTTTATATCAATCGATGTTAAAAAATACAGACTTGTTTTACAAGAATAGCACCATTTGTTGTTGTTCCTGTAGGATCCAGAGCCCTCGTGCTGGCCGGACGGGGGGGACGGGGACGGGAGGGGATTCGTCTCTACCCGGACCTGGGGGCTCCCTTGGGTGGGAGCCGCTTTCGTACCCGCCGCTCCCATTCCCAGCTCCGCCTGCGTCCCAAAAAACGGGTCTTACAGGAAGACAATAAATAAATAAGACCCTGGGTTTACTTCGCACCATAGTCCCGGAGGGAATTTGAGGGGGCTCGAGGGGGATTTGGGGAGGTCGCGGCAGCCGTTCAGTGCAGAAGTTGTACGAGTGATGGGAAAACACGCAGGTCCTCGGGAGCGGGTAGGTTTTTGGGGTGTTTTTGCTCGTTTTTAACAATTATCGGGCTGGATTTTAAAAAAATAACAACCGGACACACACACACACATACAAATAAACCAACTCTTTTTACAAGAAGCAGACGGGGCCCATGTCCACGCCGAACTCCTGCTCGGCTCCGCCAATGTCCATAGGTGCAATATCTACAATGGGCAGGCGCGAGGTCTTCTGCGACCGGTACTCGATGACCGTCTTGCCCCATTTGCCAGTGTGTTTCTGCCAAAAAAAAAAAGGAAAAAAAAGGAAGGAAACGAGTGAGGAGGGAGGTTCTGAGCTTGTTCTGGGGCTCTCTGCCACGGTGGCCGCTGGGCGCCTTACCGTGCAGCCGTCCTCCAGGACGCTGTAGGTGAACCTGCTGTTGCCCTCGGCGCGGATCTCCACGTCGTTGGAGCCCTGCAGGAGCACGGCTTTCTTGAGGTCGCCCGTCTCCTCGTCCAGGTAGGCCACGCTGTTCTTGCAGTGGTAGGTGACGTTCTGCGACGCCTCGGTGGACATCAGGCGCAGGAAGGTCAGCTGGATGGCCACGTCGGCCGGGTTGGAGCCCTCGCCGCCGTATTCGAACTGCGAGGGAGGAGGAGTTGGCTCAGGCGCTGCTTGCTCATTGCCACCGCAACCATCATCATCACAGGACCCTCATCGTCACCCCCATGGCCACCACGGACCATCATCGCCGCCGCCACCAGCATGGCCATGGCCACCAATGCGGCCCCGCGCTCACCTGGAAGCCGTCGCTCATCGTTTCGCCGAACCAGACGTGCTTCTTCTCCTTGGGGTTCTTGCTGACGTACCAGTTCTTCTGGGCGATGGTGGCCTGGGTTGGGTAGACACAGGTCTCTCCCGTCTCCATGTTGCAGAAGACCTTGATGGCGTCCAAGGTGCAGCCCTGGTTGGGGTCGATCCAGTAGTCGCCTGCGGCGGGGGACACAAGCGGCAGCGTCGGCTATGGCAGCCACCAAGCCCGTTGTGCCGATTCCCAGGAAAAACGGGCGGTCTCGGGGCCAGGAGGCCGCAGACGGATGCGGGGCGGGTGGTTCTCACCGCTCTTCCACTCGGGGTGGCAGAGCTTGAGGTCGCGGCAGGTCCTGGCCGGGTTCTTCTTGGAGCCCTCGGGGCTGCGGATGCTCTCGATCTGGTTGTTGAGGGACTTGAGCGTGGCGTCCACCTCGGCGTCGTGCTGCCGCAGCCCGCCGGCCGCCTCGTCCGCACGCATGTACCGCATGGGATCGGGGCCCTTCTCCGTCTGGCCCAAGCCGGCGAACGCCGACATGTCGATGCCGGTGCCGGGGGGGCCGGGGGGCCCGGGAGGACCGGGGTTTCCGGGAGGACCCTAGGAGGGAGCAACACGAGGTGCTCGCTGGATGCTCCAGCTCGCGGGGTGGAGCCGTGTCCCGCCGGGGACCCGCACTCACCGCCGGACCCGGTTCCCCGCTCCGGCCGCGGGGGCCGGGAGGACCGATGGGGCCGGGCATGCCGTTGGAGCCGTCTTTGCCGGAGGGACCGACGGGGCCTGGAGGACCCTACGAGAGAGCACGTGGGGAGTGAGCGCGGGACGGGGACGCCCCGCGGGTGGGAATGTCCTGGGAGCAGCCGCTGGCATCACTCACCCTGGGACCGGAGGGACCGGCGGGACCAGCAGCACCCTGATCTCCAGAGGGACCCTGGGCAGGGAGAGAAGAGGCCGGTTAATCCCGGGGATGGAGGCAACGGACGCCTTTGTGCATCCAGAGTGGAGTGTGGATGCCCATCCAGATTGGAGCCAGGGGATGAACCCGGGGCGGATCCGAAGCGGAGCGTGGTCGCTCCATCGCGCAGCACTTACGGGAGGCCCGGGAAGGCCCTGCAGGCCGGTGAAGCCGCGGTGACCCTTCAGGCCCCTCTCTCCAGCCTCGCCGGTCTCGCCCTTGTCCCCGCGGGGGCCTTGGGGACCCTGGAAGCGGAGCGGGAGCGCCGTGGCACACGGGCCGGCGGCACCGCGGCGCCCGACGCCGAGCGCTACTCACCGGCATTCCCCGAGCTCCGGCAGGGCCGGAGGGACCCATGGGCCCTTGGGCGCCCTGCGGAAAGACGGGAGCGGAGTCAGTGGGTGCCAGCGCCGGGGCTCATCCCGGCGTTTTCCCACCAGGATCCGAGCGAGGGGACACGGGGACGTGGCGGGGGGGACACTCACCGTCTCACCGCGATCTCCTTGCTTGCCAGTGGGACCCACAGGGCCGGGAGCGCCCGGAGCGCCCGGAGCGCCGGGAGCACCCACAGGTCCTGTTTCCCCGCGGTCACCCTATGGAGAGAGGTGTGAGCAGGATGCCGGCGGTGGGGGGGCAAAAACAAAGGGATATTGGGTGGAAAAACAGGGCTTGGGTTGGTTTTCCCGCGGGATGGACTCACCTTGACACCGGCGGCGCCGTCTCTGCCAGGGGGGCCATCGGAGCCGGGGGTGCCCTGCGGATAAGGAGGTTACAGCAGGTTGGGATGCAGGTCAAATCATGGGAATGAGATATAAATGTCCCACCGCTTCCCAAGCCTGCAACCCCCCCCGCGCCCAAGTGCATCAGCAGGGCCGGGATTCGGGATGCTCTGTGTCCCGCCCCACATCCCGAGGTTTCTCCTACCTCACGTCCAGGTTCTCCGGCGGGACCTGTCAGCCCAGGAGGGCCCACGGGGCCGGGGGGGCCACGGTCACCCGCTGATCCGGGGGCTCCTTGTTTGCCGGGTTCGCCCTAGACAGCGGGAGAGAAGTGGCCACTGAGCCCCGGAAGCTGCTTCATTTTCCTTTTCTTCCCTTTTTGTTTTCATCTTTTGCAATTTTTGTGTCTTTGGCAGCTTTGTCTTTCTTGCTTCTTTTGCACTTTTTGCACCTTTTGCACTTGCTGCATCTATTGCATCTTTTTTTGCAGTCATGCATCTTTGGCAAGTGTTGCATCTCGTTCAATTTGCAGGCCTTTTGTACCTATTGCAAATCTTTCGCTAATTTTTACGCCTAATCTTTTGTCCCTTTTGCCCTTTTTGCAACTCTGCAGCTTTTGCATTTATGCCCTCTTTTTTACACCTTCTAAATCTTTTCCGGTTTCTGTATCCTTTGCACTTGCTGCATCTTTCACAATATTTTCCTGTTTTGCAACTCTGCCCCTTTCGCACCAGCTGCACCTTTTGCAATCTGTTAAATCCTTTGCATTTTGCCCCTTTTTCTCGCCCCTTTTGCATTTTTGCATTTTGTGACCATTTTCAATCATTTTGCATTCCCCCCCCCCCTTTTTTGTGCATTTCTGCAGCTCACCGAGGGTCCCGGCAGCCCGGGGAAGCCCCTCTCGCCACGCTGCCCTGGCAGCCCCACGATGCCACGTTGTCCTGCCAGACCCTGGGGGCCGGGGGGGCCATCGGGACCCTGCAAGAGAGCAGCGAAGGGAGAGGTGAGAACCAGCACCCAATGGGTGGGGGGCACCCCAAGGACCCCCCCCAGACCCCTCCTCCGACACTGACCGCAGGTCCGTCCTCGCCGGGTTCGCCCTTCTCTCCGGGGGGGCCAGCGGGGCCCTGGAGTCCGGGGTCTCCGGCCCGGCCGGGGGGGCCGGCGTCGCCGCGAGCTCCTTTGGGACCGTCTTTGCCAGCAGATCCGGGGGGGCCGGGGGGGCCGGGGTTGCCCTGCGAAGCAGAAGGGGTTGGGGTAATCGGCACCTTTTCCGCCTTCCTGCTGCCACTCGGGAAGCGATGTGGGGCGGGAGCATCCATGCGGTGCTCCAGGGTTGGAAAAGCCCTTGCTAGGGATTAGGGAATTGTCAAGAGCCCGCTGGGATCATTCCGAGGATGTTTGGCTCGATATCCCACTCTGGAGGGCTTGGAGCAACATCCCTGAGCTGGGATGTTCCATCTTTCCCCATGCTGGGATAGCGCAAGGAAAAGCTGCCTCTGCGCGGGATGGGGAGGGAGAGATCCCGGCCATTCCCAAACTCACATTGGGGCCAGGTGGTCCCACACGTCCAGCAGCACCAGGGAATCCGGTGGCTCCCTAGGGAAGGAGAGAGACTTGGATGAGGCCCTCGGCTCCTGGCCTGTCCGGCTCAATCCGGACCTTTTCCTGGTCATACTCACAGGGGGACCCTGGGCTCCACGGGCTCCTTTGGGACCTGTCACTCCGGTGGGACCCTGGAAAGGGGAGAAAAGTGGGATAAGAATCGGGATGCAGAACAGGAGCCAACGCTCCAATAAGCCCCAGGCTATTTTTTTCCCATGAAAAAGCCCTGGGAAGGATTCATGGGATCCAGGAGCCGCTGGCATCACCCACCTGCGGGCCAGGAGCGCCAGAAGGACCTTGGGGACCGGGATTGCCGGCGTCACCTTTCTGTCCGGGCTCTCCCTGCTCACCCTTAGCACCGGGTTGTCCATCTGCGCCCTGTGTTGGGAATACGGCAACACGGTGGCCATGAGTGCCCAAGACGGAGAGGAGACATCGGGATCATCCCGGTGCTGCAGAGGGATAGGGGGGAGCCAATACTCACAGGGGGGCCGGCAAATCCGGCAGGACCGGGAGCACCGGGCTCTCCACGCTCACCCTGCAACGGAGAGATGGGAATGTCATGGGTGAGAATCGGGACGGGAGGGAAAATCCCCAGGGATGGGGATAGGGAAGGGAGCTGCTGGCATCGCACTTACGGGAGCACCGCGGGCGCCAGCAGCGCCGGACGGGCCAGGGGGTCCGGATTCACCCTGGGAAAAGAAGAAGATGAGGATGGGGATGAAGGCAGCAGGGTGGCGGGAGCGAGGGGGCACCGCGGGGGGCTCTCACCTTCTCTCCATTGGGACCAGCAGGACCGGGGGGGCCGATGGGGCCGGTGAGACCCTGCGGGAGAGAGGAGGAAGAGGCGGGTGAGCTTCATCCCTCGGTGATCAGGGGGGTCTCCGCCGCATCCCGGGGGCCACTCACCCGCGCGCCGTCCTTGCCGGGGGCTCCCTCGGGTCCCTTCTCGCCGACGTCTCCCTGCGGAGCGGCACAGAGCGGGGCTGAGCGGCGCCGAGCCCCGACGCCGCTCGGTGCATGCGTGGCACCCTCCCGCGCAGCCGCTTACCCGGTCTCCCTTGGGGCCGGCAATTCCGGCAGCTCCGCGCTCGCCCGGCATTCCCTGCAGCCCGGGGGGTCCCTGGGCGCCGTTGGGGCCGGCGGGGCCGGTGGCTCCCTGCGGAGCGGAGCCGGTGTCACCGCGTGTCGCCCGGAGCATCCCGGCGCCGCCGGCGCCGTCCCCACCAGGTGCCACCTACCTTGGGTCCATCGGTGCCTGGAGTGCCGGGAAGCCCGCGGGGACCCTGCAGCCCTTGGGCACCGGGAGAGCCGCGTTCGCCGGGGAAGCCGCGTTCACCCTGGGAAGCAGCGGGTTAGGAAAAATGCGGGAATGGCGGCGGATCCCACCTCTATCCTGCGGGAAAACCGGCGCAAAAGGCGCCGGGAACCCCACGCAAGAAGGATCTACTCACTCTGGGACCGACGAGACCTGGAGTGCCGGCTTCTCCAGGAACACCCTGCAGGAAGAGAGGGGTCAGCAGCGGGATCTGGAGGCGGGATGAGGCTGGGAGCGGGGCTGGGCGGGGGGCTCACCTGGTCTCCGGGTTTGCCACCCTCTCCTGGGGGACCTGGAGGGCCGGGAAGACCCTGGAAAGAGAGAAAAGCAGCGGGGTTGGCACGTCAGGATGGGAATAACCCCGGGGAAAGGGTGGCTGTTGGTGTGACGAGCGGCATCGGGGCTCAGCCGGGCTCGCACTGCCCTCTCCCAGTGCTCACCTGGAAGCCCGAGGGTCCGGGGGCTCCTTGCTCTCCTCTCTCACCAGCCGGACCCTGCGGAAAAGCCAGTGGTGAAGGAAAGCCCGGAATGGGTGGGGCGAGTGGGAATTGGGGGCAATCCCCAAATCCGGCCATTCCGGGGGCTTCGAGGTCCAGCTCACCGCAGGGCCCGGTGGGCCGGCAGCTCCCGTCTCGCCGTCTTTGCCAGGAAGACCCTACGGAAGGGAAAGGCGGGTTGGGCACCGTGTCCCGGCCTCCCGGATGATCCCTCCGGTGCCACCAGCACGCGGGGTGGCTGCCACGCGGGTGCCACCGCTGGTGTCACCGTGGAGGTGTCACCAGCACTCACTCTCAGTCCTGGGGCCCCAGGAAGTCCCTTCTCGCCAGCTTTTCCGGGCTCTCCCTAGAGGGAAGAGAAGATCCACAGTGACGAGGATGCTGCAGTGCCGGGGACATCACGGTGACGGGGACTCCAGGGTAACAGTGACACCAGGGGACACCACGGTCACGGGGACACTGCGGCTCCCACGCTGGACACCGGCCCATCCCTGCCACTCTCTTCCTCGCTCCCCTCATCCGCAGCGGGATACTCACATTAGCGCCCTTGGGGCCAGGGAATCCCATGACACCTGGTTGTCCGCGAGCACCTTGTGGTCCGGGGGGGCCGGGGCGCCCGTCCTCCCCGGGGGCTCCCTGTGGGGAGACCCAGAGGTGGGCGGGGGTCCTGGCAGCACCTGCACCCCCCTCATCCCCCGCTCCGTGTGGCATCACTTACAGTTGGGCCGACTTTGCCTTGCGGTCCAGCATCGCCCGGGCGGCCGGTGAGGCCCTAGGAGGAACGGGGAGCGGGCGGTTATTGGGGCTGGGGGCAGCGTCCCACCGGCCGTGGGGGCTCTGGGGCTGGCGCTGGAGGAGGTGGCACCGAGGGAGCCAGGGAACCCCAAGCAGCTCCTCGGCCAGACCCAAAGGGCACCTTCATTAGCCCCAAAGAGCCTCTTTGCCAGCCTCTAAGAACACCTCGGTCATCCCCTAAGAGCAGCTTGGCCAAACCCTAGGAGCACTTTGGCCAACCTCAAGAGCATCTTCATTATCCCCCCAAGAGCTACTTAGCTCTCCAAAAGCTCTCAAAAAGCTGCTCTTCAAGCACCTTCATTAGCCTCAAAGAGCATCTCTACCAACGCCAAGCAGCATCTTGGCCAACCTCTACGAGCACCTTGGCCAACCCCAAAGGACATCTTGATTAGCGCCAAAGAGCGCCATGGCCAACCCCAACGAGCACCTTGGTCCCCCAAGAGGAGCCATGAGCCACCAAGCACCGTCCCCTGGTGACACCATCTCCACCACAGGGGACGAGGCAGCGGGGAGAGGCCGCTCAGGCCGGGCCAACCCTCCTCTTCCTCCCCGCAGGGAGGAAGGCTCCTTCCTGCATCCCGCCTCTCATCCACGCCCTCCGTGCCACGGTACTTACCCTGGCTCCGGGCAGGCCGGGCTCTCCGGGACGGCCGGGATCTCCAGTGGCTCCCTTGGGACCCGCGAGGCCGGCGGGACCGCGCTCACCTGGAGCACCCTGGAGGAAAGCGGGAGCATTTAGGGAAGTCCAGGGAAGGGGGTGTGGGGGGGGGGGCACCCCCTCCCTCATCCACACATCCCACCTTAGGTCCAGCCAATCCGTCCTGTCCAGGGAAGCCGCGATTGCCGGGAGCTCCCTGTGGGAGGGAGAGGAGCAGGAGCGAAGTCAGGGTGGGTTTGGGTGGGGGCAGCACCTGCTCGGGGGGCACGGGTGCCAACGCACCCGCTCGCCGGGGGGTCCGATGGGGCCGGCAGCGCCGGGCTCTCCGCGGGCTCCTCTCTTGCCTTCCTCGCCGGCCGGTCCGGGAGCGCCCTGGGGTCCTGCGGGGCCCTGAGGAAGAGGAGGGCAGCGGGTTGGAGCCCATCCCATGGGATATGGGATGGGGCGGGGGGGGGGCAGCTTGGGAGGGAGGGATCAAGGGGGCAGCAACCCCACGGCGTGCGGGAGCCGGGGGTTACGCAGCCGTTACATGTCACGCCTGCGCTGGGCCTCAGCGCATTGAGGCTGCTTAATGAAGCGGCGGGGGAATGTTCCCGGCCCCGGGAAGCGGGAAGCCGGAGCGGCAGCAACACAGGCTCCATTGTTCCGGCGGCTCCGGGGGGAGGCCGCCCGCCGAGGGGCCTCGTTAGGGGCAGCGCCTCGTTAGCCGCCACGCTCGTTACCGGGGGGCCGCACTCACCGTCTCGCCCTTGGGCCCCTGCTCGCCTTTGAAGCCCGCGATGCCGGGTTCTCCCTGCGGATTGGGGGGCAGGAAAGGCGGGTGGGTGCCGCATTCCGGCCCTCATCCCCCTGCCCATGTCCATCCCCGATCCCTTCTTGCTCCCGTCTCTGTCCTCGCTCCATCCTTGTCCCCATCTCTCTTCCATTCTCTTTCCTGGCCCTTCCCAGCACTGTCCATCCTCATCCCTATCTTCATTCCCAACCCCTGCCCTATTCCTGCCCTCTTTGCTGTCCCCTCCCCATCTCCATCCCCATTGTCATGCTTGTCCTTGTCTCCATCACACCCCTCTCTCCATCTCCATCCTCATCCTCTTTCCTGTTCCATCCCTATCCCTGTTTCTGTGCCTGTCCCCATCCTATTCCCATTCCTGTCCCTGGCTACAGCCTCATCTCCAGTCTCATCCTTGTACTCTTTCCTGTCCCCAACCCCGTCCCTGTTCCTATCACCTTTCCTGTCCCATCCCCATCCCTGTTGCATCCCTGTCCCTGTCTCCATCCTCACTGTCATTTCCAACTGTCTCCATTCCCATCCTCCCTCTCTTCCCATCCCCATCCTCATCCTTGTCCCTATCCCATCTCCATCCCTGTTTCTGTCCCATCCCTGTCCCCATCCCCATCCTCACTTCCAACCTCATTCCAAACTCTATCCCAACACCCATTCCCATCTTTTTTTCCTGTCCCTATCCCCATCTTTGTTGCCACCCCCATCCTCATTCTTGTCCCCATCCCTGTCCCCATCTCCATGTCCATCTTTGTTCCCGTCCCCATCCTCATCCTCATCCTCATCCTCATCCTCATCCTCATCCTCATCCTCATCCTCATCCCCACCCTTGTTCTGTGCCCAGATGCCCCTTTGGGGACCCAGGAGCGGGTCACACCCCTGGGGGTGGCACAAGGGGGACCTGCCCCAGATGACACGGAGATGGGACCCCGCAGAGGGGACCCTGCAGGAGCAGGGGACAAGGGGGCGGAGCCTCTGCCCGAGGAGGAGGGGCTTATCTGCCAGGGCAGAGCCCGGCACCCATGGGTGCTGTGGGGGGTCCAGGGGGGCTCTTACCGTCTGTCCCTTGGGTCCCAGCGGGCCGGTGGCGCCCTGGGGGCCGGGGGGGCCGCGGGGGCCGGGGAAGCCTGGAGCGCCCGCGATGCCGGGGGCGCCCTGGGGGGGCCGGTGCCGTCAGCAGGAGCTGCTGTGTGTCCCCACGTCCCCCCACGTCCCCCCACGTCCCCCTGTGTGTCCCCACGTCCCCACCACGTCCTCATGTGTCCCCGCCACGTCCCCCCGACGTCCCCACCATGTCC